AGGGGCGGTGCTGCGGGACCTACCCAGCAGCACCCCAGCTGGTCTGCCCCATGGCTTTTCCAAGTCCGCCGCTGCCACTTGTAGCCCCAGCTGGCCTGTTGCGGTAGCTGCACGGGGCTTCCCCGCCTTCCTGCAAAACAGAGGAGGGTTCACTCCACACCGCGCCGTTCCCCAAAAAAACCCACTCCCTCGCAGACCCGTCACAGCCCCTCTGCCGGAGTACCTCCTGATACTCCAGCATATCTGATAATCCGGCACCCCCTGAGTCCCAAAGGTGCCGGATTATTGGAAGTCTACTGTAGATAAATTCACAGAGGTTAGGTCCATCAATTGTATTCTATTCTCATAAGAAATTTGGTCTTGCAGCACTTTCTGACAAAATAAATGAATATCTCTGCTTTTGTAAAACATAGGGTCTCCACAGATTTCACTGCCCATATATATTTCTTTGATTCTATGCCAGATAAGTATTTTTGTGAAGTGTTAACTCTAGCCAAGACTACTGAATGTACATCTTGTAGTTGACAAAATGCCAGCTAGCAGCTGTAGACTACTGATCGGCAGTCTGCCTTCAGATCTCTTTTTAAAATGAGCAAACTTCAACTTACGTTTGGATTTTAGTCTCATTTTTTATTTTTAATGGAATAGAGTTGAATGCACAGCCTTAGTTCTGCCCCATTATATACAGTAATTCCTCATTTCACACTATAAACATGTTTCTGAAAATGTTCGTGCTAAGCGAAAAAGTGCTATTGCGGGGTCAATTTTCCCATTTAAAAAAAAAATGGAAAATGTGGGGGTTGCGTTTCAGGTGGTGGTGGCAAAGTCATGGTGCTCAGTCGTCAACGTCAACATTAGATATCTAGCAAAACAAGATATCTAGCAACACAAGTTGCCGTGGTTTGTTAAAACACGAAGATAAACACGTGAGTGAGCAGAGGAGCGCTGTGACCACGTGTGTTCATCCGCTCATGAGTATTACCACTGTTTTTACCAACTTATATCACCACACGAAGTAGTCTGCCACTTGATTATTTTCGTGTTATTTCGGGGACGGTCGTGTTGTTTGAAAAAGTTCCCTAAAAAAAAAAAAATCATGCTATTGCAAAAACATGTTAAGCGGGCACGTGTTAAATGAGTAATTACTGTATAATGAAGTCTTTCAATTTAGCGTTAAATATTCCCTTATGTGCACCTATGAATCCAAGAAATTTTAGTCATGAATTTGAAGACTATCCCTCATATATAAAAGGGAACAGAGTTCAGGTAGGAAGTTAAGCACATGATAATGAGATATGAATGCTTAACTGTAATTAATATTGCATTAAGCAGATAGTGTGTTACTAACTAAATTTAAAGTACTTATTTCTAATGACAGGTTAGACCTCCCTGGTCCAATACTCTTGGGACCTGATTGATCGCTAACCAAGGAGTTTGTCAGACAAGCAGAGGTCAATGCCAGTCCCTCTGCCCCCAGCTGCTGGTTTCCTGGCTGCTGGCCCGGCTCTCTGGTCTAGTAACATCTGTGGTCCTACTCTGCCGTTTTTTCCCTGTGAGTGCTCTAACCCCGCAGCACTCATTGGGTTCCTGATGATGATGATGGGCCATGGATGTTGCCGGGCCAGAAAGTCCCAGACTAGAGAGGTTCAGCCTATACTTTGCATTTAATTTTAGATTCATGTTTTGTGTATTAAATGCTTTCAGAAGAAATCCAACTAATCCTATGAAATGTAAAAACATTTTAAAACCAATACGTGGGTGGTTATTACAAAAAAGTTTCATGTGCAATACTAGAAATTGCTTTAAAAACTTGTTGAAATAAATGCTAAATGATGGGGTAGCCATTGGTGTAGTTTCTTTATAAAAAATAGAATTTGTTCTGCAACAGTTTATTGGAGAAGGAAATGTCTGTCTTTGTTTAAAATCTTTGGACAGGAGGAAGTAATATACATTTTAAATCTTCTCTTCTTTCATAGGTATTTACTTGGTTTTTGCATTTGAAAAGCAACAGTGAAAAGAACGTGTACCGGATGTAGCAAGAAGAGATTGCTTCCTTGTACAAATTGGAGTGATGTAAAACCATTGTGGCAACTATTTTTTTATGTTTATTTTTTAATTATTAGAAGTGTGCAGGACACTACCAAAAACTAGGGCAAGCTCATGATTGAGTTATAGTTGCCTGTCTGCGACAGATGGACTTGAGTGTATATAGAAGATTGTCTGAACCTGGCTTTTTAAAACATTTTTCAGTAATCTGCATGCTGTTTGAAATCCACAATGCTTTTGTTTCCAATAAGAGTTTGTTAGTAAAGTTTGTTCAGGTGATCAAGGGCCTGGTCCTTTACCCACTGAAGTCAATGGAAGGACTTCCAGTGACTGCGGTGATGTAGGATCAAGGCTTAAGAGCACACTACAGCAAAACTCAGATTCATTCACAGTGCAGTACTTTAACAGTATTAAATTGTATTGTAGTTTATGTGGAAAGGTTCCCAAACTGTTCTTGTTTTTTGTGCTCACTGGTTTGTAGTGTCATTGTGCTATCTTCAAGATTAAATGGATTTATGTTCTGTACACCTGAATGCGCTGAAAGTATTGTTAGAGATGCCTTCATGAACACTTTCAATTTTAAAACCTCTTGTGACTTTTTCCTGGAGGCTTTAACATCTCCATTGTTTGTGCGGTTCTTTGTCCCTACCTACTGTCAAAGCCTGGGAGCTAAAGACATGCTTTTCACTTGTTCTGTGAAATAGTATTTAGGTTTGGTTGAGTTGATAAACTGTTGAAAATCATTATTCCCTTCTCTCACTTGTGCTGCTCAGGAAAACTTCGGCAGCATATCAAAATAACTGAATAGTAATTTTCTCAAGAGCTGAGCCTACGTTTCACTGATAATACCTGGGATTTGGCCAAACAACTGCAGTATTGGGCACAGGGAGCTCAAACTCCCTGCCTCCTCTCCTCTGGCATGACTACTTCTTCCACCTGTAGATAGAACCCTTCAAAATAAAATCAGACTCAGAGGGTGCCCCTGCCAGCATCTGGTACTTATGTTGACTTCCCTTACTTTTTGCTAGAGTAAGGGCATTAGCTCTTGTCAGCCTCCCGCTATGGGGAGGCTGCCAAGCACAGCTTAAGGTAAGAAGACTTCAGCTCTGTACATAACTGGAGTCTTAAGCATACCTTAAGCTGAGCTGCTGGGTTTAGTTTAGATCTGGCCATACAATACAGTTGGTACAAGCGTGTACTACAGTGTTGAATATTCAGGGCTCAAATCCTGCTGCTACATGATACCGGAGGTTTTGACTGTACTACCTAATATAAATTGTTTTTTTACCTTTAACCATCCCTTAAAATTGTGCACCAAAAACAATCAAGTAAATGTTATTTAGATTGTGAAGTCAAGTTCTCAAAAGTTAGGAAATGTGAGATTTACAGTTTCTTGGGCTTCCTTAATGTGGTTTTATACTTTTTACATGACCCTTGTCTCATTTATTGCACAAGATGGAAGCACAAAGGAGCAGAATTCAGTTGCCCAGACAACTGTAAATTGCTTGGTTGTAATGATTGAGTATTATGGCACTGCTTTGGTGTAAATAAAGCTCCTCCCAGATTATGTCCTTCTCTATGTTGTAGCCAAGAGTTCTCATGCTTAGAAATTCCTTAAGCATTTTATGGAACTGCATATAAACATCAAATCTAGGTCAGCTAAAAAATTACATCACTTGCTTACATCAGGTTGTTTGAAAATGTTCTGTCGTCACATCTTTATGAAAGTCCTCTTAAACTGCACAAGTAAGATGTTGAATTTAAACTTAATGCAGAATTATAGTTAGGGCTGGTAGATGTGAAAAGAGGTGCAGGGAAAAAACTGGGAGTTGATCAAATCAACTGGGACAAGAAGTAGGGCAAAGGAGGTCAAAGAATGTTTAGCAGCTAGTGTTGATGAGGAACTCCAGGCTGGGGTAAGGAGAGAAAGAGGTTGGGAAATGAACTAAACCAGGCAAGGAAAGTAGACTGGCACCAGAAGCCTGAGGAATGGCAATTAGGACAAGGTTCAAGGGGAGAAGAGGTCAGACTTGTGGGAGGTAATTTCAAAAGTCAGTGCTCCCTAGAAAACACTTCCTTCTAGGTCCTAGAATGGAACCCAAGATCACTGAGTTTTGCCTTTCCTCTGACATCATCGATCTATGAAACCTAGACTTTGTCAGAAAAATTCATTAAAACAACTATAAAAAATTGTTTTGATAAAACTGAAATTTTTCATACAATTATATCAATATTGATGAAAAGTTCCAAACTTTGCCATCAGTCTTCCAGTAAGATGGCTCAATATCTTTCTTTTATTTTTGCTTTTCTCTCGGTCGGGGTGTGTGTGTGTGTGTGAGATATATATAATAGTGAAGTCATGTTCTCAAAAGTTAGGAAATGTGAGATTTACTTTCCTGGGCTTCCATATATAAAAGTTCTTGTGAGATGACAGTGACGTCACATTACTCTGCATCCCTCAGCCATGCAGCCTCTCCTTCCATCTCTGCCAGTAAGTGGGATGGGGGTGCAGGATCTGGGCAAGAGGGGGGGCTGCACGAGGGGGTTAGGGTAAGAGGTCTGCGTGGGAGGTAAGATACAGGAGGGGGTGAGGGTGCTGAGTCTGGCCAGAAGGGAGGGTCGGGAGCAGGCTTGGGGGTAGGATACCTGGCCAGGGAGAGGGTGCAGGAGTAGTTTGGGAGTAGGGTGTGAAGCTAAGTGGGAAGAAGCATGCGGCCAGAGGAGGGGAGGAGTTTGCGAGCTCCTGCACTCTCTCTTGCAGCCCGCTCCCACTGGCCACACACCTACCCCCTCCCTGCTCCTGAGTGCTCCACGAAAGAGGCTATTTTGAAAGAATCTTTTGAAAAAGCCTCTTTCAAAAGAGAGTGTCTAGACTGCAACCACTTCTTTCGAAAAAGCGAACCGCTTTTTCAAAAGAGCACCCAGGCAGTCTGGATACTCTTTCAAAAAAAGCCTTGTTTGCATTCAAGAAGGCCTTTTTTTGAAAGAGTACTTTGGAAAAAAGGCGTTCTTCCTCATAAAATGAGGTTTACCGCGGTCAAAAAAACCGCTGCGTTCTTTTGATTTAATTTCGAAAGAACACGGTGGCAGTCTAGACGCAGAGGAAGTTTTTTCGAAAAAGGCCACTTTTTTTTCCGAAAAAACCCTGTAGTCTAGGCACACCCCCTACTGGCTAGACACCCTACTCCCAGCTTGCTCCCATCCAGACAAATCACCCACATCCCCTCCTGCATCCCCATCCCTATCCCTATCCCATTCACTGGCAGCTCTGTCCTTCACACTTAACCCCTCATTTTTGGCTACACCCTGGAACCTAGGATAGCCCACAAAATCCACTAACCCTGGAACCCCAGAAGGGTTAATCTGGTCTGACTCCTGCATCCCCAACCCTGAGTCCATCATACATCCAAACTCCCTGCCCTGAGACCCTCATACCCTGCAGCCCCGATTCATGCACCCTCGTATCCCAGTCCCGTTCCATAACTCTTGCACACACCACACACCCCAACCCTGTGCCTTGAGCCCCTTATATATTCCAACTCTGACTCCTGCACCACCACATCCACAAACTGCACCCCAGCAGCAGCAGAAGTCCCATTTAATAAAGTGCGAGTACATTGTTTCATTTATGCTATTATTGTCATTTATCAATAAGTTGTATATTTTCAGTCATGCAAACTGGCGTTCTTATACATGTTCTTTCTTGATCACTTGTTCTGAATTTTGATGTAGTTTGGCTCTGCACTCACTGTTGTGTATTTGCCCCAAATTCTGTGAAAAATGAGCTATGTGAGGTGTCTAATGAAAGCTTATGCTTAGCTGATTCTGTCTCTGCCACTCATCCTTGTATGATTTTTATATGTACAGTTATGAATATGGGCTCTGTACTTGTATTCTAAATGTTTTCTGTCTGGGAGACAGCAGTAGGCCTCGACCACCTATTCTGAGGAGTGGTTATGTAGTGAATGGCTATGCTGCATGGACAATGGCTCTTAAGTGTTGCCAATAAAAATTTGGGGAATTCTGCTGGGAACTTGCAGACCAGCATGTATGCCATGGTTGCTTGCCTAAAGGACATGGGCAGGTCAGTGATCATGTGATCAACTCCATTTTGGGAAGTACCATCACTCAGGAGAACAGTGGCTTTCCCTCCACGTGGGCAAGATTATAAAAGTATCCTGGGGGTGCCTCCATCTTGGTCTTCACTGTTGCTCTTCACCTCAGAGGCATCTTCATCGTAAACAGAGAGTCGGGAGGGAGCGCTGACCCATCCTAACATAGGATGTACTCCAGAGACGTTTAAGCTAGCAATTTGTTACATCTCTGCTAAGAGCCTGCATCAAGAACTTAGTGATTGATGTATGTAATGTGCTTTCTTTAACCATTCTACTCTCAACCTTTTCTTTCTTTATATTAATAAACCTTTAGATTTTAGATTCTAAAGGATTGGCACAGTGTGCTCTTTTAGTTAAGATCTGAGGTATAAATTGACCTGGGACTGTGGCTGGTCCTTTGGCACTGGGAGAATCTGTTTGGAGTTGGTGAAGATTGATTTTCATAACCTTTCATCTGTGTCAGGAATAGTGCTGGTTGTGGCACAGGTAAAGCTGGTGTGTCTAAGGGGATTTGCTTGTGCAACTTCTTGGCAAGATTAGTAGCTCAAGTGTTTTCTGGATTGGTGTCTTAGAGGACGACCCCGGTCTTGGGCTATAAGTAGTCCTGGTTCTAAGGAATTCGCCCTGATTTGACCGTCTTAGCAGTGTCCCCAGACTAACCTGCTCTATTACACCATCATACAGCCGAGCCCCTTGTCCTGAGACCCTCTTACATTCCAACCCTGGCTCTTGCATCTCCATATTCACAAGCTGCACCCCCAGCACCAGCAGAAATCCCATTAAATAAAGTCTGTGAGTACAATGTTTCATTTGCTGCTATTACTCATGTCAATTACCAATAATATTAAGTTGTATATTTTCAGTCATGCAAACAGGCATTCTTATACAGGAGGGCCCCTGCTTTGTGATGGCCCGATTTACAACCCCCGCACTTACCACCTTTTCTGTAAGTGCGGAAGGGGCCGAAATCCCCCGACTTACGTCCTTGGCCCCGCATTTATGACAGCGTATGACACCTGTTTTAAATGCGAACTTGAGTTACGACACCCCCGACTTCTGATGCTATCTTCGGAATGCTATCTCGGGGGCCGCCTGTACTGGCTTTTTATTGACCACTTTTTCTGAATGTTGATGTAGTTTGGCCCTTTGGTTTGAAAAGGTTGCTGACCCCTGTGCTAGAGAATGACAGACTTGTTTTCACAAAACAAGTACACTGCTGTTGGTAATTTTTGCTAATTTGTTACCATTCCAGTACACTGAAAACTTTAAAATGCAGATCTTCTCTTAAGGTGAGAAATTTTTCTTACTTTCCCCCTACTGAGCTTACCAAAATAGGTCCCTATTGTGGTGGTGAGTTTTGTGTCCCCTCAAAACCATTTTGTGCAGAAAAATGATGTATGCTAGTTGCAGTTCCAGCACAAACTGTAATTTAACCTTGTTGCCCACAATTAATACCCAGTTTCAATAAAACAATGGTTCATGAGCTTGATTTTTTTTTTTTCAAGGTGCTGAGCATTTTGGCACTGATCCCGTTAAAAACTAAAGCCTGTGTTACCTTTCAGGCATCAGAAGTTACTGGACTTTTGGATCTTAAATATAAGCAAGTGCTTAACTGGGAGACAGCTATATTAAAATTATTTCCTGGTGCAAAATTCTTTGTCGGTGAAAATGGTATAGGATTTAAAGTTACTCTCTTACAGTATTTGAATAGTTAATTTACACAATGGATTTGTCAGTCCTTTGGAATGAGGTATTTTTCAGAATGTTGTTGCATATTGAGACATTGGCCTATCTGAAGTACACATTTATTAAAAAGCAGCATAATTTGCATATGCGTGCTGCAAATATAGTTTAGCAATTATAAAGACTTAAAATGGCTACTTTAGGGAATCTCAAGGTTGGGATAGAAATAAATCTACAACAGCTGCAATGTAATCAAGTAGTTGGTAATTAATCCTCTTAATGCTAAAATCATACTGTGGAGGAAAACAGCCTAAAATATTTAAATATTAAAACCACCATCATAAATGTATTATCATATTTTGCATATATTAGCTATTTAGAGGTAGAATGAAAGTACCAGGAGGAATATAACTGATTTCTTGTAGGTTTAGGATTTTCTAGTAGTACACAAGTATCTTCTTAAGCTGACATTCAACAGTTATGTGATATCTTAAACTTCATTTTAATTTTTTTTACTTTAAGTTCTATTTCAATAATTAGTTGAGGTTTAGTTTCAAATAAAGATGTATTTTGCTTCTGAATACATGAGGATTTTGCAAATCTCTCCTGGTTGACTCAGTTCTAATGATTTGAATCTCAGGAAAGGGAATAAACTGCTAATTCACTGAAAATAAACTAAAACCCAAGACTGCTTATATTGTTCTAATTACTTACAGGTTCAACCTTCCTGGTCCAATACCCTCAGGACCTGACTGGTCCTGGATGAGGGATTT